GAATGAAGCATCCAGACTTGCCTTAATGTTGCTGTTTGGAGGCATGTGTTGTCTCAGTTGCAATTAGAAATGTGTGATATTCTAGGCATATTTGGCTTAGCTTTGATTTTCTCTCAGAGGATAAATCATGTGGAGTGTGTTAATGATTCATAAGTGGTATTGTAAATATATAATACTGTGGTAAAATGGATTTAGGACTGCTCTGCATATCAGAGATTAAACAATATTTGTAGTATTTTCACCCTATTTAATCTTCAGCCTCTTCAGGTAATACCTGTGTTCAGCACAAACAAATGATATCAGCCTGCTAATGACTTGCTGTGCTGTGATAATGATTCTTCAAGGGGAAAGGCTAGATTCACCCAGGGGTGTTGGCAGAAGAGCATCCCCCATATTACAGTGTACGCGCAGCTGAGATTTGAGAAGGATATTGAACTCAGCTATTTTAATACTGAACTGAACACACAAACAAACTGGGAAACCTGCTCAATATGCACATGATCCTGCTTCTCCCATCCCCAAAATAACCATAAGCTGAAAAAAACAGCTGCAACTAACACTTTACACAGCGCAGGGAGCAAGCTGTGGGGGAGGGACCAGGAACCAACCTGAGTATCAAGTGAGAAACAGATTTCAGTTCATGGATTTGCTCTTACTATATCTCAGTATAAATCAACAAGCACATATATTGTTCAGTATTCACATGTGAATCTGACGATTTAAGGACTTTTTAATGGATGTGAAGTATAATACTGTACCTTTGAGACCATGATGCCTTGATTAGTCCCCTGTTCTAAATTAACAAATTCCCTTGGAACATAACAGGTTCAATTGGCAAGAAAAAAAGTTCCTTCATTCAGTATCACTGCCAGTGCAATGAAGGTGCACATTTACATATCAAAGGGTGCTGCACCATGTCTAGAATTTCAAGTGTGTTCTGTTGTGATGTTGAAGAGCAGCAGCACTGACATGAGAGGAACTCGGTCTGTCCTCCTTACAAATTCCTCCGTTGATACACTTCCTTGTTGTGTCCGCAGTAACCCATAAAAGGTGCATAACAATTTAAGCTATAATGAGACACTTCAAACGTGTAATTGAACATGCATAGGTGTGCGCAACTTGTTTAAACATAATATACGTGTGGATATGGGTAATACTTAGTCATACAGCAGTGGTTCGCTTAAGTAGGTCATCTTCGAAGAAGGGGAAAAAACACAAAATGATACATGCAGTCAGAGAATGAATGGACATTTTTTTCTTCCTGGGAAATTTCCCTTATGGCCTCCAGATCTGATTTGATTCTCCCCAAGTCAAGCGTTGACACATTAGCACGTCTTCTCATTAACTCAGAGTTTCTCATTACCCTCTCCTGGCCCCATTTTATTCCTACTTAACAACAGATATTCCAGACATTCTTGGACCTTCTTGTGTCTCAGACACATTAAAAAGGCAGTGAAGTTATCAACATTACAGTGTTTGCACCCAAACCAGAATATGTAAATGAATCTGTGACGTGTGCTTGATAGTTAATCAAATGGCTTCCACGCATTGTTCCATGGGTGTCAGAAAGGCCTCCCTCCTCCATCAGCTGAGGAAATGAGCTGCATTTGTTCCTCCAATGTCATCCCCCTTTCTTTGCTGCTACTGAATGAGTGCCTTTACTAGCAAAAGCTTTCAATCCTGATGAAATTCTTTAGTGTGTACTAGAATGGATGCACACGTCAAATCAAGTAAAATGTTATAATAAGTTGAATATTTGATAAATTATTGTTCAGAATCCTGACATAGACTTGTTTTAAAGACCCAAAAATGCATGATGTCCTTCAACGCAGTGAGTTTCAGGTCATGTAACACGCCCTCTGGTGGTTGTATTAAAGACGCTCAACTCTTTGGCAAACAGAGAAAATAATGTGATTGAGTTTGTTGATAATGATAGCTTATTAGATAGGGCATTTACTCCCATAAATACTATTTGAAATAATGTCAAAAAATCTTGTCAGAGTAAGGGTATTCTGTTTTCACAACAGTGACAGCATCTCATAAAAGCTATTAGTGGCTTGAAGTTGCACCTTGACATTAAGATAATTGACACAGGTAAGTTGCCATATAAAGGCAGAGAGGAGTAACTATAGAAGCAGTTGAGAAAAAAGCATTTCAAGTTTGCAGGCCGGTTGGCTTTGAAACAAAAATGTTGTAAGGCCTCCATTTTATGCCCTGATTATTTACCAAAAATTGACTGCCATAAACATGAATATACCGTACCCTTCCTCAAAAATCCAGTTTCATTCTAGGGTTTATTAGTATCACATATCTATATTTTACAAGCAGCTATTTCACTAGTTCTGCAGCCATTAGCAAGAGTTTAGCTGTTCAGCTGTTTTTTTGTCAGTCATTGGACTTAACTGCTGTCTCGTTAAGTCATGAGGAATAACAAACTGCTTTGGCTGGCTCATCAAAATGGATATTCTCCAATTATAGATAACAGCAAGGGAGAAATCAGTGAATGAATTTAGTTTAACGGAGACAAGGCTAGGCTATCTTGCCAGCTAGCTTTCAGCTTCTAGAGCCAAGAGTACACCAAACCAGTCTAAACTTAGTTTGGACCAAATTTTGCTTTGGCTTTATAATTCTGAATTATCAATTATAGAGTTATAGTAAGATAGCTGTATGAGTCTGAGGTTGTGCTTTTGAATGTCTAACTGCTTCTTTGGGAAAGCAGTTACACATTCAAAAAAATGAGTTAACTCTATAAATAGCTAAAATTTTGAACTATCTGATCAAATCAGTCACTTTCAACGTTACTGAATCCACCTGCACCTAAATTATATTTCCCATGCTCAACTGTTTTAAATTTAGACATTATTTCCGCACAGTAATTTATCAAATGGAACACCAGGATGCCAGCTGTGCTTGCTTTTGTGTCAAAAGTGCAAAGTCTATGTGTGAAAAGAGCATTTACCCATCACACTCCGCAAGTGTCTGTCATCGCCTAGCTGAGGTTTACATGAAAATTAGACAGTTATAAAGGGTGAGAGTTTGGGCCTGTATCCTAATTGTGGTGATGCAGCATGTTGAGATGGAGAGCAGCGCTTCTCCTCGTCCCCAGTGAGACTCTGGCTAATGAGGCTTGGTCTACACCTCCTGCTGTCCACCTCCCAGCATCTCCTTCCCTCCTCCTCCACCTGTGCACATATTTCAGCTGAGCTATGCATGGCTGTCTACATGTGGTGGTTCAGGTGCAGTATTATATACAGTGTAAGATGGCCTTGTATTAGGTATTTATTTACTTTTCTTACTGGTTTTGAATCACATAAAATCCAAATAGTGACAATGTTTTGATTACATTATTGATGCATTTATTTCCTTGTCTAAAACTCACTCTTTGAGAAGCTAAGTACATTGATTGACATGATTTCGAGCAATTCACAGGAACAAGCAGGAAGCTCACTAGACCAAAACAGGGACTGCTGTACATTTTTAGGCTACTATAGGTGTAACTTGGCGAGATGTCTTTTAGTTTGATTGTAGGGATCAGAATTTGAATGACATCCACAATCAATTCAGTTTTTATGTGGGATTGTTGCTTCAGGGAGCTTGGTCTTCTCTCAGTGTTGTCACTTCTTGAAATAGATTGAAAGGGACAGAGTGTATTTCCTGTTGAAGGATCTTATAGCTCTGCCTAGCCAGTTGCATCTGGCGCACTGTAATCAAACCAATCATTGTGGTTGATGGTCAATGATTGCTTTCAGATTGGCTTGCCTTCACATCGCTCTCTTTTTTTTTTTTCTTTTTTACGGACACCTGCTGTTGCAGCGAGACTGTGAAACCATGGAGATGGAGGAGAGACTGAGGGCTTGAGAAGCATCTGCTATCACTGTTAAATCAGAACTGCACCGCTTCTGGTCATTTCTAGTGGTTGAACTTTAATTTGATTGCTAATTCATGTACATTTCATTTGGACAGATGACTGGTTCTGGCATCTTGTGTCCAAAAAAAAATTCCCCCCCCTACATCCTCCAGTGTACCTCCCCTCTCATAGTCTCTTTACATAAGCACATTTTGCTGTACTATTACCAGCTGTTTTCACTTGGTGTCTTTTGGAACAACATGCCAGAGAAGCCCAAGTCCTGGGGCAGGAAGATAGCATTGCTGCTATAGTGGTTACATGTTAGTCAATTTGAAATACACAGAAAGGAATGTCTCTCATGTGACTCCAGGCCAGTAGAGCGTGACCGACTGCAAGCTTGCCAAGTATGGTTGGTCACACATGAGAGGGCAGGAGACAGGCAGCAGCACGAACATGGGTGTCTCTGCTGTCGGATGTCTCCACCTTAGCTGCAGACATGCCGAGGATGCAGATTCCTCCCCTCGCTTTGACTAATTGACCCTGAGCGGATATGTCAGCGGCTTGAGGAGGTAGAACATATGAACCCCTAAGATGTTGTTTGGAGAAGTCTTGTACAGGGGCATAGTTCTGCTGAACCAAGTTAGTGCAGCTTGACTAACTCACACTGAAAGGGCGAGGCATTAACCTGATCAGGACCTACTGTGTGTCTCTCGTGTAACAGGTACCACTCTGCCATTTGAGCTGTCATTTAAACAACCAAAATGCGTGCAATTAGCACCTGTGATATCATATCTGCTTTTCAGGCAGGCGAGAGCAATGCTTTTTGGATGTGTTTTGAGTGACATAAACATTGGAAATCAAATACTGACATTTGTTTGATATGATGAGGCTGATATTGAAATGTGATAGCAGTTACTCATCCTTGAAAATGCTAGAATAACAAAAATGAACCGAGGGCAAACCGGCTGTTAACACTGATGCTCATATTGAGTTACTGCATTTCTTCAAGGGCTCTTAGCTAGCAGTTTGAACAATATAGATGAAGTAAATAACAGCAGGAGTTCTGGCAAATCCTAGACTATAACATTATTGTGATGTAAACTGAAATTAATTGTGAAAGTAACTTGTGTACTGTTTCTGTTTTTTTTTGTAGCCCCTGGACTATGAAAATAAGAAGGCATACACTTTTAAGGTAGATGCCTCCAATGCACATCTGGATCCACGATTTCAAAGCTTTGGGGCTTTCAAAGACACAGCAACAGTGAAGATTAACGTTTTGGATGTGGATGAGCCTCCGGTGTTCAATAAGCCCTCCTATGTGATGGATGTGTATGAGGACACACCCGCGGGCACCATCATTGGAGCAGTGACGGCACAGGATTTAGATGCCAGCAGCAGTCCAGTCAGGTAAAGTTAAACTCTTCTGTCTAAAACAATATATATATACACACACATAAGTTTCAGTACATTGCATGGTACATGGTGTTATATCGATATGCATTTATCAAATTGATGAAGGGGCTGACAATTTCACATGAAAAGATCTACACAGTATAAGCATTCAGCCACTGTGCTCCACTTGGGTTAAAATGCCACAATTACAAATGTTTGGTCAATATTGTTTTAAGTTAGTCATGACTTATTTTGATTGTGTTTAGTGGTAAATATGTTTTAATGGAGATTAAAAGGGACTTAAGAGGGCATCCGAATCTATCTGGGCCGGATAGAGTTTATTTGTGAATATTATGAAGTCCAATTCTCGGGAAAATACATATTGCATCCCTTTATAATCTTTTAATGGATTTGTGCAATAGTTAGCCAAAAGGCTAGTTTTCATCTGTAGTTGCTGTGTAGTGAACAGATGTGACAAAGATGAGATAATTTATAAGCATTCAGAAAAAGACAAAGGAAATGTTATGTTATTAATGTTAATTAAAAAAAACTAATTCAGGACACCATTTTACAACATTGTCAAATGCTGTTTAAATATGCAAAACAGAGGCACATCATACAACTCACACAAAACAATGGAATGAAGGATATTAATGTTCATAGAAATAGAATATTGACTAAATAAAACAACATTGTGCAGTATTATAAGACACTAATATAAACATGCAAAGCAGAATCACAGACATCCACATAAAAGCACATACAATATGTAAAAGTTCTCACTATAACTGCAGGTACATGAAGACCGAATGGCAATAGCAATATATAGATAGGTGACAGCAGACAGCAAAGGAAGTTCACAGCACAGACAGACTGAGGTCACGAAGGTGCAACTGAGTGAGAGCTGAGTGCTAAATACACCATTTCTGTAAATGAGCTCTTAATAAACTGCATGTGTCCATTTCGCTAATAGTTGCTAGAATAGAGGTCCGTTCTATTGCAGCTTTAACAGAAAATGCAGACTGACTAAAAGCACCTCTGTACTCTTAAACAGTAAGTGATATGGGAAATAATCATAGGATGCATTTACATCTTTGCCGCCTCTGTTGACATGACATCACGAATGAACCCGAAAGTTTGAATTTGACCCAGTTACAAACCTTTTTCACCTGTGCCTTGAAAGAAAGTTTGGAATCAATCAGAACCCCGAGGTACGTTCATTTTGACTGAATGAGAAAAAAAATCCCCAAGTCTGCATTATATTTTCTGTAGTATAAAATGTTAAGACAAGAGCTCTGTTCTTAAGTACTGTATGATGGAGAGACAGATGAAGGTCTGACATGGTCTTACTTAACTGAAAAACTAAACAACTAGGTTCTGATTGTCTGATCATGTTAGTGTTTGGTAAAAACTTCATTACTTGAATAATATACTGTAGATTGGGTTCAGGATGAAAAGAAAGAAAGAAAACGCATGTCAGTGTGCCCCATGCCTATCTTGCCATTTAAAGAAGTATTATGGAAATTAGTTTTTCATATTATTCAGAATGACTAAATCTTACTCTGGAAATCTGGAATTAATACTTATAGCCATATATATAGTGAATGAAGTAGGACTGGATCTGAACGCACATCTTCATCTTGAGAGGATGGAAGGATAAAAGAGCTATAGGGAGAAGTACTGTGGTACTGCAGCTAGTGATTGAAGGTTTTAGAACTCTAATCCATTCATCAATGTCTCCGGTCTCCATTCATCAATGTCATCATGGCTTTAATCTCGAGTGTATTGTCAGTTTTACTCATCGGTTTGAGGACTAATCAATCTATGTAGAACATTTGACATTGTCATGTAAAATCCTGCTAGCATCATCTCTTGGCAGTGCAGGATGTGTTGGCAACGTTATGCTACAGAGACAATATAACTTTATTAGTGGCCCCATATTTACATATCTGAACCTTATATCTGCACTATTAAAATTAAAGCGATATATGAACTCTCTCTTTTTAGAGTGCAGATATTATCTAACTTTTGATAATAACTAATCAAATTTCACTGAACATTTTAAATTCACAGCAAAAACAACTGGACATTTTAATGTAACTCATGTTTAGTTTCTATGGCATACATTTTTTGCATATTTACTCACTAGAACGTAATGAATATAAAACACTGTTTTGCCCTGCAAACTATGGTCAAGGCGTACAACTCTGTTCATACACTCAGCTTTTGCTAACCAGCCACTCACCTCTCGACCAGTCATGCAGTTATATTTATTGTTCCATCATACGATTTGGAGTCACAGTTTAAGAGCACCTGTTTTAATTTAGATTAAGTTTTTCACAAAACAAGAATTTATAGGTTATCCACTATGTGGCTGTCATCCACTAGGGCTAAAACATATTTAAGATATGTATTTTCTATATTCTGTTTCTTAATAGAGCGGCAAGTTGTTTCTATGCAGTTGGATGCAGTTCTTTGAAGATATTTTAAAATATTTTGGTGGGGATTAATTTTTTATAGATTTCATTATTTACTGATGTTTATTGATAATCATTGACATAACTTAATTAATGGTAATCATATATATCCAATAGTTTGTGTAGATGTGGCTGCGTAACACTGTGCACATCATTAGTGGCTTGGCCGAGTGATATGACATAACTGAGAGGAAAGTGAAGTGGATATATTACCTTTTGTCAGAGTTCATTTGTACAGCTTTTGTGGTGGCAATTAAAATGGACCAAGTAAAACACAGAGGAAGCTGCGCCCATGCTTTTATTTTTGCCCACATCCTTAATTAGCTGTACTGCAATTGTTGCTGAGAGTGACAGCATTACACTATGTAACAATTTGAGGTTAGATTAGAAAAAGAGCTGGTGTTTGGACCATACAAAGAAATTTTGCACATAAAACACCAAAAACATTGTTGACTGACACAATTTAAACTGAACATGAGAACTGATAAAGATATAAACTGAATTGTAATATGTCGGTATAGCCTCACAGAAGCTAAGAAACTGCACTTTTTAAAATTTATATTACGTTAAATTACGTTGATTTTACTGTGATTGTTTTCACATAAGTCACAAATTAATCCTCATCAATTACATGGATAACAGAACAAAACCTACCAAACCGTAAGGGTCCTAAATCATTTTACAAGGCAACATAGTGTAGACTGCTGGTCGCTCCTTAGTAATTATCAGGTAGGACATTCAAACGTCACTGCTCAGTTTTATAGTTCTGACATGCTTGACTGAACTTCTGATTTATACTCAAGGCAAGTCATTTCTTTTCTTTCTCAGTCTCTCTGTCTTGCTATACACCCTGTACCACACAAATACATGCACACACTATCCTGTGTTCTATCATAAAACTTGAGTGGTAGATAACAATAGACCATCATTGGCAAAGACAAGAGAAGTGCATTCTTAAAAAATGTATGAGAACGCTTTTGTTAAAATAGTTTACAGTAGCTACTTTTGCTCAGGCACATTGCTTTATAGTTATGGTTCTTTGAAAATGTATTGCTCGAGCGGGACACAAATGACAAAAATACCTGTTGCATGGACAGAAGTTGTTTTATTATGAATATTTTATTCCAGAGAAAACAAAAGAACAGAAGAAGGAGAGATTTGTACGACAAAAAGCTAATGCCCTCCATTCTCCACTTTGTCTCTAGCACTTTAAATATTCATCAAAACCACAGCTGACATTGTTCATTTGTGTGCCTTCAGAGAGCAGCCTTGCATTCTTCACTTCTAAACAATAGACCCAATGACCCATCATGCATAGGGAATTATGCTTTTAGACTTTTGACTCAACTGATTCTGCTATTTAGCAGTATAGTGCAGAGTTATCTCTAGCTGGGGAAACACAAGAGCGTCATGAATACTGCATTGTTGGTCGATTCTAAAGAGCTTCCTATAGTTAGAATAAGTTTTAAGAACTGAACTTTTGGCCTCTGTCTAAAATGGTAATACCACAAATCACAAAACACTGAAGAGCAATAAAGTTTATAGCGTTTACTGCAGCAAAACCATAAACTCTAAAAATCAATGACTGTGGAAAATAAACACAGATGTGCTTTGACTTTTTCTTAAATTACCTTGTCTGTTGTGTGTAATGTTCTCTGGGCTGAGTTAACAGTACTGCAGTTCAAAGTAGGAGATAACGCTGTAATTAATTTTCATATCTACAGTTCACAGTACTGAGTTAGGCTTAAGTAGACTTTTTAGATCTGTGATTTCTTTTTCACAGCTGTTGATGAGCTCTATGCTCCTTTAGATAATTCAGAGACTGAACTAATTACAACTAAAACATGTTTTCTATCTCACAAAAAAATTAAGTTTCTGAAACATTTTTGCCATTTATCTTGGCAGATTGCAAGGGAACTGGTGGTGGTGGTGGTGGGGGGTTATTGTCTTGCTCAAAGGAATTTCAAAACATTCATACTTTGTAATATTCTGGTTATAAAGCAGTCTCTCTAACCACTGGGCCACACTCGTACTGAAAAATCTGCTTCAGTAGCAGCTTGACTCCAATGATACCCCCACCCCCCCCAAAAAATGGTTTTGCCCTGAGGAAAAATTGGAAACCATTGATCTTTTGAACTCTTGATGGGAGTTTGGCTGTAATATTTATCAAAGAGACTCACACACTAAACTATTTTGACGTGATCATGTTCACTTCAAGGCTACACGCAACACAGAGTAAAGAGAGGACGTGGACAAATCAAAATTGAAACAGAAAATTTGATGGGACCAAAGCTTGCAAAAAAATTCTACTTAAGTAGTTTTGTTATCATTCTCATTACAGTAAAAGACTTGGGGGTTTGAATGTACGCTAGGCCTCTTTCTCTTAATGAGTGAGTCAAGTCCAGTTTGATGCTTTACAGTGTAAAAACAAGCATGATAAATATTAATGAGAAATACCCTTTAATGATGAAAAAACTTGCTACAAGAAGGGAAAGAAATGGCAGAATGGTGGCCTAGAAAGGGTGTCCTTCATGTGGAAAGTCCAAGCTCAAATCAATGAGAAATTAAGCATCTATCCTGTGGAAGTACCCATGAGCAATGCACTGAACCCCCAACCTTTGACCTCCTTGTGAAGGGGAACAAAAGACAGGAACATATTCTCTCCTGTGGGAACTCCACTGACGATCACAAAATTATTAATGAAAAATAGCCTTTAAAGATCAAATAGCATTGCATGATGAATGGCGCTGTCAGTGGCATGCAGTTTGGTTTCAGATCTCTTTTATTTCATAGTTTGCATTCAGAGCGACTGGGCAAGACCAAAGATGTATTTCTCAGAGAGGACGCTGTACCCTCTGTTCTCAGACACCAAACCAACATTTTATGCCTTTTGTTGTTCATCAGCCGTGAGAGATTGATATGGTTTCAACACTGCCTAAAATTCATTTATGCTCCCAAGAAAACCGTTTGCTCAGCATGGCCAAAGTACTTGTGCCCCATTACTAGATTGGAATGTATATGCGACCCTCAGCACATTTTCTGGAAATGACCATTCAGAATGAGTAATGAAGGCTACGCCAACGTTATATTACACCTAACTCATATACATGAGCCCAGAGGGAAAATCACTATGGTTTAATTCTCTGGTTTATGTTGGAAATGAATGCCATTAAACAAACATTTTCTTTCAGGTATTCCATTGACTGGAAGAGTGACTTGGACAGCTACTTTGACATTGATCCAGTGGAGGGAACGATTTCCACAAACGAACTCCTTGACAGAGAGAGCATTGCCCAGCACAATATCTCCATCGTGGCAACCAAACTTAGTAAGTATGACAACTAGATCGATTGCAATTCATGCAGGTGACGTTGTCCTTCCTCCGCCATAATCTGTGTGAAGGATTTAACACGCTTTTACTCAAGTCAATACTCAATCCCATTTTGCTGGAAAGGTTTATAGGTGACTATAAACCATGATGGCTCTCCCGGAGGGATGTATCTTCAGGACATTGTCTCCTCTAGCATACTTGCCTCAACTCTGTTTTCATTTTTTACTATCTTTTTTAACACATTTGATGACATTGGCATTGAAACAGTGCTTTCTTGCCAGAGTCAACTTTTACTTACACCGCAGTAAAATGTGAACCTTCCAGAGTTTTACAGCAATAAGATGCAGTCGGATCACAGCATGTTGTAACCCGAGCTTAACAAAGAGTGAACTAATGCAGAGCTGTGGCTTTAAGACATGTCATCAAGCTAATTATGTTTTTATGAAGGAAGTGGAGCAAATTTCCGGATAAATAAGCAAATCCATCGTCATCAAGTCATCAAATCTGCTAAGAACCGTCAAAGTCATTATCCCAGAGGCAGGCTGGTGCTCAATCAAAATTACCCACGCTGTATATTCATTAGGACAGACTGTGAAATATGGGCTGTTAAAACTTGAGTCATTGTCGCCTTGGAAACTGATATTACTCACTTCCCCTCAAGGTCATGGCAGTGACATGCTAATTCTGTTTTCAATGTGTGTGTGTGTGTGTGTGTGTGTGTGTGTGTGTGTGTGTGAGTCTTTTGTGTGGCTTTTGTGCTTAAGTGTCAAGGAACTGGAGGATGAGGTAGACCGAAAGGATTTAGGGTGGTGGGAGTAGAGAGTAGGAGAAAGAGGTGGGAGTTTTACAAGGACGTTACATGTTCAGTCTATCATACTTGACACAGCAGTATTTCTGCACATATTGCCCCTCGCCGACCTGGGATTCGATCCTTCTGTATGACCTTTCCCCAACTTAGCCTCTGATCCAGTTCTCTGCCCTCTTGGAGAACAAATATTCCTCTAGAGACTATTTTCACAATGGTAGAAAAGAAAAAAAATTCACATCCCGAACCAGTGTTGAAAAAAAATAACGGTTGCACTGGTGTAGTGGGGACAGAGATAAACCCAGCACCCTGGAGTTTGTGTCCCAACTTGTGACTTCTAGTCTGTTTTTGACCTTGAGTGAGATTTGGCAGAACTTTGTGTTCGGGGTATTGGATAGCTGTTATGGCTCCTCTGCGATGCATTCTGCTATCATGGTTTGGATGATGTCTGTCTGTTTAAACACAAAGAACCACAAAGATCAGCAAGCGGGTGATCCGTCAATGCCCATTGAATAATGCATTGTATGAATAGAGGTCATGCACAGAAAAAAAATTTAGACTTTTTTACATACTTGACCAGGCTCAGTTTTCAATAAACAGTAAATTATTGCAGACCTCTACGTATTTGACCCGTTTCTGCATCTACTGTGTGTCCTTGCTAGAAATGCTTTCTAATATTTATCCACCAAAACCTTGTATTCCTATATTACATTGATTATGAGGAAAATATGAGTTGTTGGGTGAAATTTTCCCTGAATTCTGCATGATTAGCACAACACCTGAGTTGGAGTCTTTTCACTTCACAAAGCCTCGGAGATTTGTCCGGTCATTGCTAGACACTGCAGTCATGCAGCAAAATGAGAGCAGTGTCTCCTGCTCTCCTGAGACACAGTACACAGCAGAAGGTGTGCTAAATAAGAGCCGGGGCTAGATTAATGATTTACTTTTTGGCATTTAAGCCCAGTGGCAATTTTTAGGAGTCAAAGAGAGGGGAAAATCTATTAAATGCAATAATAACCTTGGCAGGAGGCAATACGTTATCACACTTTCTGTCTATTTGAAGTATTGAATGTTGTTTCAAACATGACGTGGAGTTTTGTGTTGTGAATTTGCTTACTTTTCTGTCCCCAGTTGCACTTTTTATAGATAGGCCTAGATTTATACATAGCTATCACAAGGAATCTTTCTATCTCCATTTTGCAGCACATTTTGTAGATTTGTGGTTGATTGCTTGCAAAGATGGAGATTTTTATTAAAATGAGCTTAATTAAAAAATAATATGCAGTAGAAAAGCAATATAAAGCCGGCATTTTTATGGCTGACCAGCCAAGCATTCTGTAGCAATACAGGATTCTGTTTCAATAAAATATATAGAGCATTTGTTATTGGGCTGAAATGCTGACGCTAGTCAGATTTGAATATAATACTATACCATTGCTCCATCTAGTGGGCTATAAGATATATCACTAATGACATACTGAGAGCCAGTCAATAGTTATGGAGATGAGCTTTGAGATAAAATGAGGAGGAAAAGAAATTATTGTATCCAGAAGCCTGGGACTTTTTCTAAAATTTGTTGTTCAAACTTTTAGGGACCAATGAATTCAGGACACTGTTGATAGAAAAGATCAGTATATTTTGCTGGGTGAGCATCAATGTTAGTAGTTCAGTCACTGCAAAGCAGCAAATCCCATGCTTGGTGTCATTTTTACCTCGGTGGTAAGATTGCTTTTTCCATCAAGGTCAGAGACAGGTTACCCCCCCCCCTCCCCTGCATTCTTCTGAACCACCCACTACACACAAACCTACGCACCTACGCACCCATGCACTGGTACTCCACAAACAAGTGCACACTAAGCCCCCCACTGCAGAGAAAAGCCTATTCCCACAACAAATCCATAAAGTTTACCTTACTTGGGCTTTCATACAAAAAGAACATTTCCCCGTGTGCCCCTGCAGTGAGGAAACATTGTAACAAAAACCCTGGATTCAAGTTAGTTCCTCTCAAGGGGGCTTTCACACTATAATTAATATGGGCTGTACATCTCATAGCTAAACCCATAACAGAATCTGAGGAGAAATAAAAACCTGTAAAGAAAATTTCTCTCTATAGAGCCATATTCCATAATGTGAGACATGCTTTATTTGTAGGCAGCGCATGGGAAGCATTACAGTGTTTTTATTTAATCCTCCTTTTCATCATCAATCAAAAGTGTCATACAGCAACAGCGCGTCTGGGTACAATTTATGCACCGTGTTCCAGACACATCAATGGTTTTCTAGCAGACACATTTAACCAGAGTGACCAACAGTGGGCGAGCAGCTAGGCGCTTTAGCATGCTCAAAGACACTTGACCGGACACTTGGGCATGACAGCCGCTTGGCAATCCTACATCAGCAGTCATAAACATTTATGCTTTTATGCT